CTCTCCACGTTCTGCCTTTTTCATTTGATCACCATCATCTGATCCCATTAAACCTCTCTCTCTCTCTCTCTCTCCTTTCAAAAGACATGCATTAAAAATAATAAAACAACACTCCTGAGAGCCTCCAGCTTTTATCTCCTTGTCTGCCATGAGAATCCCATTAAATACCTCTTCGCTTGCTTTATTCACGCGCACTTCCTCTATACAGACATTTTGTTCTGTAGAAAGCAACCCGGGACTCGCCGGGAAACAGTGTTACTGACTTGTTATTTTCCGGCGATGTTTACTCTTCTCAGCTTATTCTTCCTGTGACGTCTTATGGAAATGGGTTAATGCTTGTTCTTTTTTCTGTTCTTATACTCTTAGCTCTTGCACCCTGTTTCTCTTGTGACGTTTAGATCGTAAAGCTTTCGTCTTTCGATCATATTCTGCAAAATCGGCATTGAAATTTAATTGCTCACTCTGTTCTCTCATCTGGCCATCCTCTTAAGTTACCAAAACCCAGCTGACTACTAACCAACGAGCATTAAAAATGATCACTTTAACAGACCTCTACCATGTTCTCACCGCCGTGGTGCCACTATATGTGGCGATGATCCTGGCCTACGGCTCTGTCAAGTGGTGGAAAATCTTCAGCCCTGATCAGTGTTCCGGCATCAACAGATTTGTTGCTCTGTTTGCGGTTCCTCTTCTCTCTTTTCACTTCATCTCCACCAACAACCCGTACACCATGAACTTAAAGTTCATAGCCGCTGACACACTCCAGAAAGTAATCGTGTTGGGAGTTTTGGCCGTCTGGTCAAGAACTAGCTCGAGAGGCTCCCTTGAGTGGTCCATTACTCTGTTCTCCCTCTCAACACTGCCCAACACTCTTGTCATGGGCATCCCTCTCTTGAAGGGCATGTATGGAGACTTTTCAGGCAGCTTAATGGTTCAGATTGTTGTGTTACAGTGTATAATTTGGTATACGTTAATGCTATTTCTCTTTGAGTACAGAGGAGCAAGGCTCCTCATTGCAGAGCAGTTTCCTGACACTGCTGGGTCTATCATTTCGTTTAGAGTCGATTCTGATATTATTTCCTTGGATGGCAAAGAGCCACTGCAGACTGAAGCTGAGGTTGGAGAAGACGGTAAACTTCACGTAACCGTTAGGAAATCAACGAGCTCTCGATCAGAGATCTTCTCTCGCCGATCACACGGCCCCAACTCCGGCCTTTCTCTTACACCAAGACCATCTAACTTAACAAACGCAGAGATTTACTCTCTGCAATCATCAAGAAACCCAACGCCAAGATGCTCTAGTTTCAACCACACTGATTTCTACTCCATGGTGAACGGTAAAGGCGGCACTAATGTAAGCCCAAGGCAATCAAATTTTGGGAACTTGGGGTTTGATGAAGAGAACGCAGTCGGTGTTTTTGGGAATGCCGGGAAAGCAGCTAACGGGAGTGCTTACCCGGTACCCACAAACGCCGGAATCTTTTCCCCAGTTGCAGGTCCAGGAGCAGCGAAGAAGAAAGTCAATGGCGCTGAAGTCGGCAAGGATCTGCATATGTTTGTTTGGAGCTCCAGTGCGTCCCCGGTATCAGAAGGAGGAATTCATGTCTTCAGAGGTGGAGAATATGGCAATGATCTCGGTGGGGTAGCTCACCAGAAAGGTACAAACACTAATCTCTCAGAGCATTAGTCAACTGGGTTTCAGTTCTTTTGTTTGTTTCCTCCATATCTGTGATTGTGACTCTTTATTATTGTGCTTGTGCGTATTTGAATTTGTTCTTTTTTTATTTAACGGGTGGAATTGATTTTTTGTTGCATGTGGTGATCAAGGTTATTTAGTATTGGATATGAGTGACTAACTATTTTGGAATGTTCTACGCACTGCGGTAAACTGTATTTGTCTTGTTAAATATGAGTTTTGGATTTTACGATGCTTTTCTCTCGGTGGGTTTTTTTTTTTTGTTATAAGATGATGTTAACTTTCTAACTTTTCTCTTCTTTTTTTTGTTAATACAAAAGCATAGATCATGTTGTCTTACTTGTTATGAATGTTTAGCCGTTTTGATCGAGCTCAAGAGCAATAATTTTGATCACGTTCGTATGCATAGATTATGAAGAATTTGGACGAGATGAGTTCAGTTTTGGCAACAGACGTGTAGGAAATGGGGGTGAGCAGGATGGTCCAGTTCTTTCTAAGTTGGGTTCGAGCTCCACGGCTGAGCTGCATCCTAAGGCTGCCCAAGGTGAATCCAAGCCATCTGCCATGCCACCTGCTAGTGTCATGACCAGGCTTATTCTGATCATGGTCTGGCGAAAACTAATCAGGAATCCAAACACTTACTCCAGCCTCGTTGGCCTCACTTGGTCTTTGGTCTCTTTTAAGTATGCAACAAATACATCTCTTAAAAATATTTAATCTTTTTGTTTTCTTTGGGTTGCTGATTGATTGGTTAATTTAACAGGTGGAACGTTGTTATGCCTGCAATTGTCGCTGGTTCAATCAAAATTCTGTCAGATGCAGGTCTTGGGATGGCCATGTTTAGTCTTGGTATGTTCGGTGATAAACAGTCTTGGTTGCTGTTCTTGTATGGGTTAGTTGTTACTAATTAAGCTTCTACTTGATGTGGGATTGTGGCAGGTTTGTTTATGGCATTGCAGCCAAGGATTATCGCCTGTGGAAACTCAGTTGCGGCATTTGCAATGGCGGTCCGGTTTCTCACCGGTCCTGCTGTTATGGCTGCTGCGTCCATTGTAATAGGATTGAAGGGAACTCTGTTGCACATAGCCATCGTACAGGTGGTAACTAATTTTATTTCCTCATCAAATTATGTACAATAACATGGCTGGCTTTGTCAAAGGGTAAAATTTTCTCATCCGGACGTCTTGTTTCTGGAATTTCAGGCAGCTCTTCCACAAGGGATTGTCCCTTATGTCTTCGCCAAGGAATATAATGTTCATCCGGATATTTTGAGCACCGGGTTAGCTTAGCTGCTTATAAAACTCCTGCTTTATTTTTACTTTTGCTTGCGAGTAGCCAAAAAGGGCTTTTGTAATACTGATTTATGTTG